CTTTAAACATGAACAGGTGCTGAATTTTGTCAAATGCTTTTTCAGCATCTAAGGAGATGATCATGGTTTTTTTTTTTTTTTTTTTTCTTTCAATTTGTTTATATGGTGGCTTACATTAATGGATTTTTGTATGTTAAACCACCCCTGCATGTCTGGGATGAATCCTACATGGTCATGGTGTATCTTTAATGTGTTCTTGGATTTGGTTTGCGAGTATTTTATTGAGGTTTTTTGTTTTTTGTTTTTGTTTTTTTGCATCAATGTTCTTAAGCGAGATTGGTCTAAAGTTATTTTTCTTTGTAGGGTCATTATGTGGTTTAGGTATCAACATGACTGTGGCCTCATAGAATGAGTTTGGTAATGTTCCTTCTGTTTCTATTTTGTAGAATAGTTTGAAGAGTATTGGTGTTAGCTCTTCTTTGAAGGTCTGGTAGAATTCTATGCTGAAACCATCTGGCCCTAGGTTTTTTTTTTGGATGGGAGACTTTTGATGACAGCTTCTTTTCCTTAGGGGATATAGGACTATTTAATTTATTTACCTGATCTTGATTCAGCTTTGGTAAATGGAATCTATGAAGAAAATTGTCCATTTCATTTATATTTTCGACCAGCTATACCACTCCTAGGCATATACCCAAAAGATGCCCCATCATTCAATAAGGACATATGCTCAACCATGTTCATAGCAGCTCTATTCATAATAGCCAGAATCTGGAAACAACCTAGATGTCCCTCAGCAGAGGAATGGATGCAGAATGTGTGGCACATTTACACAGTGGATACTACTCAGCAATTAAAAACAAGGAAATCATGAAATTTGCAGGCAAATTATGGGAACTAGAAAAGATTATCCTGAGTGAGGTATCCTAGAAGCAGAGAGACACATATGATATATACTCACTTATAAGTGGATATAAGCCCTTTAATATAGGATAAACATACTAAAATCTATAGCCCTAAAGAAGCTAAACAAGGAGGATTCTAAGGAAGATTCTTAATCCTCATTCAGAAGGACAAACAGGATAGACATTGGAAGTAGGAAAAAACAAGGAACAGAAGAGGAGCCTTCCACAGAGGACCTCTGAAATACTCTACTCACCAGGGTATCAAAGGAGATACTGAGACTCATTGCTATACTTTGGGCAGAGTGCCAGAAACCTATGGAAGAAGAGGGAGATAGAAAGAACTGGATGAGGACAGGAACTCCACAAGGAGAACAACAGAGCCAAATTACCTGGGCCCTTACTCCAACTAAGGACCATGCATGGAAAGGACCTCAAGCCCCTGTTCAAATGAAGCCCTTTGGCTGCTCAGTTTCCAAGTGGGTTCCCTAGTAAGGGTACAGGAGCTGTCTCTGAAATGAATTCAGAGGCTGGCTCTTCCGTCCCTTCCCTCTGTGGGGTGCAGCCAGGCCACAGAGGAAGATGATGCAGCCAGCCTTGATGAGACCTGATAAGCTAGGGTCAGATAGAAGGGGAGGAGGTCCTCCCTTATCAGTGGACTAGGGAAAGGGCATAGTGGGAGAAGGAGGAGGGTGGGTAGGACTGAGAGGAGAAAAGGAAGGGAGCTGTAGGGGGGATGCAAAGTAGATAAATGGTAATAAATAAATACATAAATAAAATTAAATTAAAAAAGGATCCCGGTATGTCTTCCATCCGGTGGTTTTATAAGTGAATAATAATAATTAATTAGTGTTAATGAGTAGGTGTACATGAATATAAAAAGAATTACAAATGCCATCTAACATTTATTGACTATTAATATCTGTCAGGTGCTACAATAGGGACTCACTTAGATTACTCACTTAATCTTCCTAACTTTATATAAGATCAATATTATTGTTCAAGGTTGTGATATGTTGAGACAAGCTGGTTGATAAGCTGTACAGGGTCATTAAGTGGCGGAGTCAGCTTGCGGCCCCCATGCTGGCTTATGGTGCTGGGAGTCAGAGTCAAGGTCTTGCATATGCTCTACCATCCAGCCACACTAGTCCAAATCTCTGTGTCTAGCTCTGAGCCATTGTGCCTGCCATAAATAAAAAGGAGGCTTGATATCTTTTTGCTTTGCACTGTGGCCATAGGAAAATATGCTCTCCATCTCTGGAGAAATGACTAAGTGTGTGCGTTTTCCTTGTTGTTTGGGAAAAGGCTAAGTTCATACATGAGAAACAGGATTGTCTCAAAATTTGCTTCATGTGAAATTTTGTCTCCACAGCATGAGAAAAAAAAATAATTTCATACATGAATATTAAAATAGAAAAGTGGATATATCAGGGCAATTTCATTTAGTAATATGTGCTAAGGGAAAAGATCTTTATGTTATTTTCCAAGCTGAACAATACATCGATCAAACTATCGCACCATCTGCTTCAGTAGCAATAGACTTCCTGTCTGTTGCAATTCATCGGGAGTCTATCATCACCCTGTGTGGTTGTGAGCTGTGCCTTTGTAACATGTCTGTGGTACTTCCTAGTGGCCTCAGTCCATCCTTTACTCCAGCTTTCTCAGCTTTCTTGCATCAAATTTTAAACTGTGCTGTATCTTCCTAGCTCCTTTATCTTCCTGCGTAGTGTCTCCCATTTCCCAAGAGGCCTTTTGATGATTTCCTTATCCAATCAGTTCAACTCTATGAAGCCACCACCCTTTACCTCCTCCTGGTGACCACAAGCCTGGAGGGCTGAGCGGTTTCTTGGTGATGGAGTGTGCTCCTCACAGGCCCTCAGCATCTGAACCAACGCCTGTTGGTGCTGTCGGTACCCCAGCCCAGCCCTCGTATGACATGGCTGTTGCACTGTGCTCATACTGTGCTCCTTAGATCCCTGGAATCCACAAAGTATTTCAATGGTTTCACTTTTATTTGTGCTTCAGTTTCTCAATGGAGCAGCAAAGCACAAATTTTTAAAAAGTTTTTTTGCACTAAGGGCCCACAACCTTCTGTCTGAGTTTCCGAGTTCTCCAGATTGCTCTACAGTATGGAGATAGACAGCACAAATAGTTCCACAGGCCAGCCTGACCTTCACGTGCTTTCTGTGACTTTTACACTGTGCCACAGGCTAAAAATTGTATAAAACAAAACAAAAAAAAATGTTTATGGTGTGATAGTTAGTAGACACTGCAGATAAGTAAAGAGCAGATTGAAATATACTGTTATTGCATGGTGTAAATATTCTGGAGAACAGCTTAGCACTGATAGCAGGAGCCTTGAGTGGTGACTCACCATATCTACCAACTACCAAGAATTTAGTTTTTGCTAGTGTGTCAGCACACACCTTTAATTCCAACACTCAGGAGGCAATGGTAGGCAGATCAGTGTGAGTTTGAGGCTAGCCTGGCCTACAAAGTGAGTTCGAAAACCTGTCTCTAAAACTGAGAGAGTGAGCGAGAGAGAAAAATAGAGATATACATAGAGAGAATTTACGTTATAGAAGAAAGAGCAGTTCATAGATTTCTAGACACAGAGCGAGAAGTTAGATGGAGTGAAGATTGTTGGAGTTAACTCAACCCAATAGTAGTTATAGATGGAATCTTTAACTACTATAGTTTATAGTAGTTATAGATGGAATCTTTAACTACTATAGTTTATAGTAGTTAAAGATGGAAGCAGCTTTGGAGTCCAACAATACGAGAATAATGAATAAATCATGGCGTTGCGTGTGATGTTGCATTTGCAACTAAAAAAATATATTTTCCAGCAGTTTTTATTCTCTGTTAAAGGTCAGAGAGTAACATTATTTTGTTTTGTTTCAGGGTTATTTGGTGACTATTTTAGGCTTTGTAGATAATATTATCCCATGGGTTGTAATTTTCCAAACTCTGCTTTTTTTATGTGAAAACATCTGTAAGATGCACAAATGATCGTGGATGCATTCCAATAGAACTTTATTTGTGGACACTGAACTTTAAATTTTGTATATTTTTAAAAATATAGAAATAAATTTTAAAATGTTTTCCTTTAAAATTATGAAATTATTTCTGGTAATCTAGTGCACAGGTTCGACGTATTTTGGCACTAGCTCCCCTGTCTCCCACCTTCATGTCTTCATTTTTATTATAGACCGCTGCCTACTTAGTTCTAATGATCTGTAGTAGCATTCTCTCCGCCTCTGAACATTAGTATAACATTGCTGTAGGACGAGGAATATCTGTCTGCTACTTTTCTAATCAGAAGAAACAGTTATAGTTGTTTTAAAAGGTTATTAAGCCCCCAGGGTCAGAGAACACCCATCAACATCTTGACCAATGGGGAAACACTATTTAGACAAGGGCTCCTGGAGGAGTAGGGAGAGGTGTGTGACTAGAAGAGAGAGAACTCTAGGCTGAGTTGTGTGTGATTATTGGTAGAGACGAGAATGACAGAGTAGAAGTAAAATGGTATACTGAGGCCTGATTTGCTGTGCTATTACTGATGTTTAGTTGCGAATCAGTTGGAGTGGCAGGATCCTATTTTTGAGTGAAAAGATCTACAGGGCATTAGCATAGGAAAGGGCTTGGGAGACAAAGAGCAGGGCCAGGACAGGAGCCTGAGGACAAAGCAGGGAGAAAACCAAGGCATGAGGTGGAAGCAGAGAAGAGGCCTTGAAGGAAGCAGGCCATGTTACTGACTAGGTCTGGGAATTGATGGGAACTGACACAGAATGTTGTTTTTTATGTAGCTGTTCTATGTAGTCAGACAGTAGACCTGCTGAAGGTGGTATTGGGTGGTTCATATGTTTTGAGTTTAAGGAAGTTATTGGATGTATTGGTAAACATTTTCAGAAGAATTTTAAAGTCAAGAAAAAATAAATGTATAGAGTTTGTAGGTACAAGAACAGAAACGTTCACTTAGAAGCAGGAGGGAATAATGAAACTTCTCATCAAATATGATTTATATTCATAAATTATTAATGATCTACTAGGTCTTCCTGGATCACATACAGTTTCAGGTACCTGTGTTTGGAGTGTGGTCCTTTATTTTCATACTGGATGACAACTGACTTACATCTTTTGTTTCCCTGGACTTAGGCCTTGGAAGATCGTGTATGGGAACTCTTACAAGAAGCAGACAGGACAGCTGAAGCAAACAAGGCTCAAAGTCAGGTGTACGATGCCATGGCCCAGACTCTGGGGGAAGCGTGGGCAACCCTGGTCTCCATGCTTGAAAAGAGAAGAGAGCTCCTTGGGCTGACTTCTGAGTTTTTTGAAAGTGCTTTGCAGGTTGGTGTTTCAAAGAACATTTGCTTCTCCATATCATAGCAAAAAAAAAAAAAAAAAAAAAAAAAAAAAAAAAAAAAAAAAAAAAAACAAAAAAAAACAAAAAAAAAAACCTAGCACACTCAAAATGTTGACTTCCCAGTATACATGTTCAAGAGTAACTGAGGTGTATGAAATACATTTAGTATTATTTTGACAAAAAATAAAATTAACATTTTTAAATGCAGATCTTTAACCAAATAAGTATATGTGGTTAAGTAAAAGTAGAACTCTTGCTCTTGTCACTTTTGATCCAGTTCCTTGTTTAGAAGATAGTAATGCAGTCATGGAATCTAACTGCTCTTACTGTACTATTACTGGGGAATGCTGGTGTGAAGGGTTTCATTGGCTAAAAGTCAGAGGATAAAATTTTCTCTGCTCACTTGAAAAATCAATTACATAATATTCTATAGGATGTTTGACTTGTAAACATAGTATTTTGTAGAGTATTTTTGTAGGGAATATAAATGATTTTCTGTAGAATCACTTTTAATCTCATTAAAATGCAAGGTAAGGAAGAAAAAAGCTCTGAACTTCAGATTGTTTATGGCTCCAGTTGGCAGCATGAACCTGGGGGAGCAGGGCCTAAAAATGAGGCAAAGACTCATTAGCCAACTTTACTCACAGGATCAGACAGTTTATACCCTGAGGGTTAAGAAGAGTCACAGGAATAAAGTGTTCAATCACACGAACAAGCTGCACATGGCAAAAGCATGTTTTTTACATAGAAGCATATGATTAACAACTGAAGTAAACTCATGCCTATCCACTACGCCTGAGAAGAACATGAAAACACAGTCTAAGACCAAGGCTGTACACTTTCGGAAGAAACTGAGTTCACAAGACTCGTGTCTTGTTTTCTCCCAAGTACTCAGAATTCTCCTCACACAACTTCATTCCCGGACTGTGTTCCGGCATAGATGAATGGCCACTGAATTTCTTCTGTAATTTTTCTTGAGTTTTATTTGGTTTGGTTGTTTTTGTTTGTTTGTTTGCATTTTTTTCTTTGTGTTCTTGATTTCAAAATGTGAGACCTTAGCCCTCTTTCCCATCACCCCCACCAATCTGTTTTTTGAAAAGTGTCTAGTTTGTGTAAGACAATCATTGGAAATTTCACATTTTAACTCCTCTGTCAGAGGCAGTGAGCTCTTGCTGAAATGTGACCACTACTTCCTGTGATGGAAGATTTGCTTTCTTTAAAAACTCAGTTATGTTATGTAGATGTGTTTTTGTTTTAATCCCAAGTGTGGATTTTAGTTTGGGCTTTAGTTTGTTCACGGTTGATAATTGTCTCCTGTGGGGCGTGGTCATTGCCAGCTGGTAACGGCCTGCCTCGGGCAGCATGGAGAGGGGCGTGGCTTAGGACTCTGAAGGCTGTAACTGAGAGAGTCTGGAGAAAGTGTGACATGTGGTGTGTCCCATGTGACACTTTTGAGAGACACTTTGTGGCGCAGAGGCTTGGAGGGGATGGATGAGGAGACCGCTGTTTGCTGTTGGGTGGAGAATTGGCTTAGGCCTCAAAGACCCATTGACCTTAAACAGCCGGGAGAAGTAAAGGGGTCTGCACCCCCTCTCCCCACTAACCTTCTCTGTCTTAACTAGGTTGGGGCGTGAGGTTGGAAGGGAGAGGCTGTAAGGAACCCAAACACGAGCAGTCCAACGTCACTCTGATAAAACACTAGCTTTGAAAAACATGCTGTTCATAGAAGGGAAATTGAGTTAAATCTAGAGTTACAAAGGCGAGAAGATCAGTGACAGAACATAAACCTTGAGGTGGACAATCTCATGAGCTGTGAACTCATTTAGAAGAGGAACAAATTTCTTACTGTAGGTTTTAAGATTCACATGCCACAGCTCCACACTGAAGCTCTGCTTGTTTCATAGGCCATCTTCAGGGAGAATTCAATATATGATCTCCTTTCTTGAGAGAAGAAATAAGCCAGCTGAAATACACTCACAGAAGCCAAATTATAGCTCTAGCTGATTCATCCCTTCTTAGTAGGAGGGGAATAAATGTCACTGTCTTTGAAACTCAGCCCTCTTGAGACTAGCAAATTATCTTTTCCTAACATCAGGCTCAATATTTGTTTCTTGGTGTGTTTCAGTGTTAATGCTAGATAATTTTCTCTGTGATGTGGAAATTGCTTCCAGATTTTGTAAGGAAATACTAAGTCGAACCAGATCAGCCAGGTGCTTTGATGCACATATTCAAGTGGACTTTTATTGGCTCTAAGAAAATAACTAAAAGTGTCTGCATTATCCTGTGCCCTCGTTCTGTGAACCACTCATACTAGGTGGAGGGCAGAATCCTACATAAGCTGTGGGCTGCTTCTCTAGGGCAGAGCAGTTTTTTCCAATGAAAAAAGATGATGAAATTAATTTTAACTCTTAAGTTCCCATTGCCATTCCTCCTCTGTACAAACGTCAGAAACAAGAAGAGTCTAAGTTTTAGATGGGAAAAAAATTTACAAGATAAGAGTTAATTGGAGATCAAGGAAGTTTGTTTTTTTTTTTCAAGGAAGTTTTAGAGCATCATTTGTTTCAGTTGAAACAATTTGGAGTAAGAATCTGAAATAGATATAAACTATAGTCTGGCTATAAACTTTCTGTAATGTTCTACTGGAAAAGAACAAATAGCCTATGGGGGTTTCTCTTTTAAAGATTCTCCTGGAATAATGTCTTTAGAAATTGGTTATCAACAAGCTGGATGAATGAGAGACGTGAATACATAGTGCATGTAATCCCTTGTAACTACAACCACAGTAGGATTCTTTAGAATCGTAAGAGATGCTATGATGGGCTGTGGTGGTTTCTGTCGGAGAGCATCTGGCTTACAGGCTTAAGGCTGAGTCAGTTAACTGTCAGGCTTAACTTCTTGAACACTGCTGTACTTCTGGAACAATGTACCTGATGACCGTCGCTGGTGTCTGTCAGCTTGTCCTGTGAGAAGGCAGATGACTTCTGTGCTTTTCACACGGGGCCATGTTCATCAGCCCTTCCCATCCTTCCGTACTGGTACTGCTTAGACCTGCATTTTCTGCAGCTGGTGTGGTAATGACAAGATGAGGCATCCTCTTGATCAGCTGATTTAATAAACTATTAACGATCACCAGATTCAAAGATGATACTTCATAGAAACAAAAACAGGAAGTCTAGTCAGTGTGAGGCTTCTTTGTGTTTCTCGGGGATACTTTGCCTTTATTAGTTTATTCTAAACCAGATCAAGAGGTGAAGACTTTACCATACTCTTTGTAAACTATGATAACCCCCAGGGAACCTTGGTGTGAAAACCCACCACCTGTCTGCCTCACTGAAATAGAATATTTAGCTATGCTTTGCCCCCACCTAAAATTATGTTTACAATTATCCCCCTGAGCGTTTTATCCTAACTTCAAACATCTTTCCATCTCAAATTTACCTTAAGAAAATTTTTAAAAAATGATCTTGATCGTATTGGTCACCATTTGTGTGTCAAATTGTTATAAACTCTCCTTTGAAATGGAGAAATGTTCCAGTTTCATTTCTGCTTTAGTCAATCACATTTTTATTCATACAAATGTGGCACAAATACTATTGGCACAACTTTAAATAAGGTTGCCAATTACAGCTTCAAAAATGAACACTTGTATTCTCTCTCACCCTCAATCACATTCCTTCTCATAAAATTAACAAAATTGGTACATTTGCTGTTAGACCCCCATCTCTTCTCCCTATGCATGTGTGTCTGTGTGTATACATGCACGTGCGTGTTTTCTTCACTGACATTAGACTATTGTTCAGAAACATTGAGATTCTATACCTAAGCTTAAACACACAGAGGAAAAACATCACAGTATTTAATTAGATTTCTCTGATATCACTAAGTTAAATCCACTAGTGATTTTACAAATTATTGGTTAGACAACCTTTTGTTGATTTTTGTCAGCTATTTTTTTTTTTTTTTTTTTTTGGCTATTCTTTGAGAAACTAACTTAGAGTATTGATGGTAACTGTATTTGTTGCTATAGGGAAGATATAATCTATATAAAATAATTTTGGCTGAAAAAGCTACTATATATTTGAACATAAACAAGCTGGCTTATTTTGGATTGCTTAATGTGTTTCTAGTTATAAAAGAAATAAAAAGTGGAGGAGAAACCATGGTATTTTGTAAGTTTAATACATGCACAATATCCTAGGTTAAAACATGCTCTTCTCATCCCCTCTCATATTGAGTCAGCTAGGCCTCTAATGCATGAGAAAAATCCATAAGTATAATAAATTGTTCCATTGGGTTTTTTAAATCATTTTCATGTCTTTCCCTGTGCTTTTTTTCAGTTTGCCATTAAAATAGACCAAGCTGAAGATTTTCTGCAGAATCCTCATGAGTTCGAGAGTGCTGATGCCTTGCAGTCACTTCTTCTGCTTCATGACCAACATGTGAAAGGCAAGAAATAGTCTTTTCCCTTCATGTTAGCTCCTACAGATCTCAAAACATGTTAGCATATAGATTCTCATGAATGACAGCATTTGACATCTTTCTACTGTTATGCTTTAGTTTGTCTCAAGAAAGGATGGACAAAGCTTTGTTTTTGGCCACCTTCTGAAAGAAAGCACCGTGTGTGGATGACACTGGGGGTGGGTAGCAGACCTGTGGAAAGTTTAGCTCTATGTGTTCAAGATCTTCATCCATGAGGACAGAGGTTGTTGTAGCCCTCCATCCAGGATCCCTCAAAGAGCATAGTACCGTGGACCCTTAAGCTACGCTCACTGGTTGAGTTTAGGAAATGTTTTATCTAAGGAAAGATAAATGCAGAACATTTAAACACCAACTCTCCGTAAGAAGAGCTCCTCTCTTCACCGTTACAACGAAAAGTAATGTAGGTAAAAGTCCAAATAACATTATGCAGAATACTTTTAACTCCTTTAGAGTGTGCACTAGTAACAGTTGAATTGTTAAGGCATAATTTAGAAGCCACATTTTCACCACAAGATACTGGCTCTGACAGAGACTGGTATAGAGAAGGTGTCATCTATGAATCTACTGTGGTTAGAAGGTAGGGAAAGGTTTATTTTTTCTTTGAAATGTAGTTTATAGTCTTTTTCTGGGCATGAGGAAAACGTCTTCATAGATTTGTCACACATTTTGATACTGTTTGCTTTATTTTATTTTATTTTTACAGAGACTTCCTCTCTACATAATCTTTATTTGTCACTTTTAACTTGATTTGATCCCCAAAAGGGTTGGCCATTCGAAAAAAAGGTATAAAGCAATAAAGCCCATTTTTAAACACACACGCACACACACACTCTCTCACACACACACACTCTCTCTCTCTTTCTCACACACACACTCTCTCTCTCACAGACACACATACTTTATATTACTCTCTAAAATATCTATTAAATAGTTCTTCATTATTAACTGCTTGTTATAAATTTCCCAAACTAAAGGGTTGACTAACTCTGTCTTCCCAGTGTAAACCTTTATGGCAGTCTACCAAATGTGTAGATGTATTTTCCTGATGCTCCGTCTGTCACACCTGTCACTGTGAGATATAAACAGTAACAGCAGACTCAGCACTGAGCAGCAGCTGGCTGTTTTGACGTGGCAGTGGTGATCTAGCAGGGTCCCCCGAGGCTCAGCTGAATCACTTAACATTCCTGGTAGGAGGCTGGAAGAGAGTCAAGTCCAGTGCCCAAGATGGGTTTGATGGCCTCAATGCAGTCTCACACGGCCAATGTGCTCATCACACAGTAACTTTACTCATGGAACTGGGGTGACTTCATCCTGTGGAAGTGGGGACTTCCCCATAAATATTTGGAACTGGGAGAGGAGACTGTTTGATATCCCTCTTTCTGCTTCTGCTGGCTTCTTCAAATTAAACTGGGTCTGTGACACATGAGCCAGCCGACACAGATGCACACTGCTTTTTTGGAAGCCGGAGGCTATACTGTCCTGGTATCCAGATGACAATGGAGCCATGTCTTGCTCTTCTGTGTAATCTTTGAGAGTCCACTAAGCCTCACCTTGGGCTGACAAGATGGATAAAATGCTAGCTGAACACAGGAAGCATACTTTGTCTTTGGTGACACAAATCCTGGGATAATTTTAAGCCTCTCTGTGTGATACTTGAAGGATTGTAGGGGGCAGTGATCAGGAGAACTGGGTCCTAATGAATAATGCCCAGTGGTGCCTTCAAGAGCTTTGTTTTTATAAAATGGGAGTTAGACTAATCAGCCGGTTCAGTGGGATGTAGTTAAGATGATAAGATTTGAAGTGTATATTAATGGATGAGATTTCTGATTGCTGGTCAAGGGCTTTGTATCTGTCATCATTGTTAAATTTAAGGGAATAAAATGCGAGTTAGCGGTTCTAATACATTTATGAGTTGCTGAGCAGTTGAGTGGTACAAAAGCATATGTCATGGTGACAAAATATAACAGGGAGCTATGATGAAACTTGACCCAACTGTCCCTTTTCTTCCCTTAGCCTCACCTCTGTGACCACTGTGTCCCATGGCTTAGGCCAGAACAGGGTGACTGGGTAGAGGTTTCTACCTTTTATAATGTTCCAGCACGTTCTATCAGAGAACAATGCTTTAAGGGGCCGAAGATTAACACAGCCTCACCTTCTCTCTCTCTTTTTTTTTTTTTTTTTTTTTTTTTGAGCTAGCCTTGGCTTGTTAGTCTTTTTTCAGGATGTGATGGACATGATGGACATTTCCAGTATCTGTTTTGAATTTAATGGCATAGAATAATGGTTCTGAAACATTTTACACTGAGGAACCTGGTGTCTCATCATCATATTGCACTGGGGTTAGTGTCAAGAGCAGGTGTCAGATGAACACATTCTTGTCTTAGCTTCACTAGGAATGAAAATGCTGTGCTATGAAAATGGTTAATAGGAGTATTTGGTTCAGTCTGTCCTTTGAGGAACTGACAACTGACAGGCCTGAAATGTGAGTAGAGATACGAGGAAGGGAGTTGAGGTGAATGGCATTCTTGACAGGGAAAATAGGAGAGAATATAGAGGCAGGGGAGGTATAGATGGGTGAAGAATTTTCAGAGGTAGGATGAAGACTTTTAGACAAAGGAATATAGAAATTAGGCTGTGCCAGATGTAATAATCTACTTTTAGGGAGCCTAGATCTTCATTTTAAGGCAATAAGGCCATTGTTGAGAGAGGAAGAGAGGGAAAGTGGGAGGTTGCCATAGAAAAGGGGGAATGAGGAAGGGAGATAGGTAGGTAGAAGAAGGTAGAGAAGGAGAAGGAGAAGGAGACAAAGTCTGTGTATTTCTCCCTGGTGAGCCATGGACAAATGCCTGTTTGTCTTAGACAGTGCACTAATAATAGACTAAAGGAAATATTCCTACACTTAGCTTCGTGAAAGGATACGTCTGCTAGGGTTACTTACAAGAGCATGGATGACTGGAAAGCAGCAGCATCTTCAGGGAACCACCTCAGCAGGGTGACAGCTCATGAACGCTGCATTCCTGGAGCTCTCTGCTCAACCTACAGTCAGATTTACTGAAAAGACTCTTGCTCAATAATTATTTACAGCTTCTATAAGCCCCCTACCCCCTTCAGGAAGGTTGTGGATCTTATAACTTTAGAGCTCTTGGGTCTTATAAGTTTAGTGAGCTTCCTGAACCTCATAAGTATGTTAGTTCCCTGAGTCTTAGGATCTTTCCTCCTCCCTTTAGGAAGGAATGTTTCAATATAGGAGAAATACCACATACCACAAAGCTTGTTTTAAAAGTCTCTGTGGGTATGTGTGAAGAGTAGGGCGAGAGAGAGAGAGAGAGAGATGCAATCAAGAGAGGGTTGCACAAGTCCAGGCAACTTTGCATCCTGGGATAGAGAGAACCAGACAGATGCAGGACATGGGATGGGAGCATGACATAGACAAATCAATGGTGGTGAGATAAGGGGAGGCATGAGTCAGAGATCTCTGGTTCTACTACTGACTGTGGAGAATGAAATGGTCCTAACTCTTCAGTTGATGTCTTGATCTGCAAAGCACTGCTCTCAAGTCCTATATCTCAGTACTCTTTCCCAATGGCACCTCTTCAGTTCTTGAGATTTAAATTCTCATTTAAATATTTAATACAATTCCTACAGGGCTTGTTGCTGCTCACTATTACAGTAGTCTTTTCCTTTTTAACTTTCTTCTAGAACTCTTGGAAAGATCTCTAGGCCTTCTAAACAAGAGTCAAAAACTCACTGACTTCATAGAAAAATTCAAGTGTGATGGATCTAGTGTGAATTCTGAGCTGATTCAGGGAGCTCACAGCAGCTGTCTGAAGATTGACAGCCTCCTTGAACTTCTACAAGACCGGAGACGGCAGCTGGACAAGTACTTGCAGCAACAGCGGCAGGAGTTGGCTCAGGTTCTACAGTTGTGTCTGTGGGAGCAACAAGAAAACCAGGTAACACAAACAGACATTGGATGAAGTCTCTGTCTTGCCTAGTTGGTTATTATATGGACTAGTTATGTTATGACAATTGCCATGCTTGGATCTGTTAACGGTTAACTGAAAAGCATTTTCTCTTAACTACCATGTGAATTTCCCAAGTAAGTATAAATATGAGACTGAAGATTTCCATCTCCTTTCCTTATTATAAGTGGGACATTTCCAAGGTGAACTTTTGAAAATAACTATGGTCTATCACTGAATTTGCGTTCTCCCCTCCTTTGGATTTTTTTAAATTCTGAAATATGAATCATGGTTTTCTTGCTGCTACTGTAATTTCAAACAATCTGTAAGTGCAAAGGAGGGATAGCTTTCCCGGAAGAGCAGTCAGGTACCAGTGGGAAGGGTAAAGCACTGGCTGGTGTCTGTATGTCTGTGGTTATGGGAGTCTGGGACTCTGCGGCTTTACAGACCCAGTAGAGCTCATAATTCAGACTGTGGGCTCACCTTAATCATCTCCAGGGGAAAGCAGGCAAAGGCCCAGATCAAGTGGTTGTCATGCTTACTGCTGTGTTTCTGTTTGCCCAATCACGTGCTCACATAGTGGCCACTCTCCTGGTCAGGCATGGGAGGGGGGATTTTTCTATGTTTCCTATTTCTCTGATGGAAACTAAAAGACAGACACAGCTGGAAGCATGTGCTTGGTCAGGTGAAGTTGGTACTTATTTCAGGCTGGAAAAAAATGAAGATTTCATGTCTGACATGTAGAATTTACTCATGGAGTACCTACTGTGCGCAGTGCCCCATTACACACAACACAAGTCAGTGGTGCTTCTCTTTATGAATATTTCGGTTGTATTTTTCAGTCTTTGAGCTATTGATACTTGGTGGTAGGTAACTGTTGCTCTGGAGGACGGTACATACAAGGAAGCAGAAACTCTGATGTCTACCAGCCTATTTTTGATTAGAGAACCCTCAGTTAGGACATCTAAAACTGTCACCACAGTTTGCAAGACGTATCCCGGCATGCAACATCATCGTCACTTGAGAACTACCAGACCGTATGATGAGAAAGTCATAAAATACGTGAACAGTGACAAGTGCCATTTGAAAATCCTGTGGGACACAAGTGCTGACCTACACTGCTCTATTAGTCACATAAGCCTCTCTCAGGAGGTGCCCTAGACTGGAGACGGTGGCCCAGACCCCCAGTCACATAGTCTGCTTGTGTTCTGTTACCTTCTCCGCCATCATCCTCTTTGTAAGCTACCTCTGGCATCTTCTGCCTGGACTCCCGCTGGCTCCTGTCTGCTTCTGATGATGTAACTGCCTGCTCCTCTTTCAGATCCCATCTTTATCCCCATCCTACCTTCACATGTGTGTCATTGTGTGTTACCTCCACACAGTGCAGTCCTCTTTCACTGACGGTGGTGATACATACACCAGAGGGAAGTCATGCCCGTTTAAGAATCCACTCAACATTGTTTGTTAAACAAGGGTTTCTAGGATCTTTGTCTTCCTATCACAGCAGATCCATTATAGCTCATGAACTTTCTTCCCTCTTCCCTCTTTCTTCTTCCCTCTTTTTCATCCCTAATTTGTCCTCTCTGACATCCAGTTCTCTCTGAATTCTGTCCATCACGGTGTTCCTAGAGTTACTGTCTTTTGAAGACAGTTCCTAGAGAACTATCCTTCTCACAGTTTTCCCCCCTTAGGTTCACAGTTCAAACCCCTGACACTGATGTTTCCAAGAATAGAAACACTCTCTCCTATGCAGGAGGCTGTTGCTTATTCAGATTAACACAGAGGCCATTCCTCCCCAAAGAAAAGGCTCATCAAGGGTTTCTCCAAGCACAGAACAATTGCCCCAATAATGAAAACATAGCTACAGGAGGCTTTACTTATTTCTTATTTTTGTGATGGTAACTTTGCCTCCCCAGTTCATGTCAAACTAATCAGCCACTTGAATTCCTGCAGCACAAAGAAAAGATCAGAATTCAGGAAATTCTAAATGAAAATTAGAATTCCTTCAACATACTGAAGGAAAATTGAGGTATTTTGGCAACCTTGGGAGACTGAGGTGTTGGTGATAGCTAAATCAGGTATTGTAAAAGGTTTCTTCTGACTTGATGAATTCAGACTTAATGGAAACTTTCATTCCTCCCCCCCATCTCACCTCTCCTCTTCCTTTTCTCCCTCCCTCATTCCCTCCTTCCCTTTCTTCCTCACAAGAGTAAGGTTCTTTGGGAGGTTGGGTTTGGAAAGACACCATCTTTTAGAGAAGTTTTCAGTTAAGAAAACTGAGCAGAAGGTAAAGGTTTCCCATGGGTCTCACCCCAGCAGCCCCTACCTGAAGAGGAGTTTAGAACCACTGCTGTAAACATTAAGACATCATCAGCCTCCGGGGTACTATACTCACTGAGGTTCAGGCTCAGCATTGTGTGCTGTGTGAGTGTGAACAGATGTGGAATGGCTGCTGTCTGTCACTGTAAGACCATGCAGAATAATTTAACTGGCCCTCAACTTCTCTGCACTCTGCTCATCTACCCCTCCCTCCCCAGCTGTGTGCTCCGAGCTGCTTTACCTAGATTGTCTGGGTTGGAACCGTACATTATGTAGCTTTTCATACCAGCTTACCTTTCAGCGCAGTAGTAAGCAATCACGTTTCTTCCCTATCTTTGCATGGCTTGATAGTTCATGCCTGTCTAGGGATGATTAATATCCCATTGTCTGCATATACAACGGTTTACCCATACGTTCGCTTGCTACAGAGTGTTTTAGCTGTTTCCAGGTTTTGGCAAGTGTGAATAAACAGCCACGTGTAGGTTTTAGTGTCAGGTGAGATTTCAGTCCATTTGAGTAGATAACAAGGAGAATGGGTTGGGCAGTGTGCTTAGAATATGTTTAGCCCTTGTCTGAAGTAAGCTATGCATCCGGCCAGCAATGAATGAGATTGCTCTGTTCCACACCTCTGCCTGCAGAGGATTCTATCAGTGTTTTACATTCTAGCCTTTCCAGTAAGTGGATAATATTTCATTGTAGGACCTTATCTTTAAATTGAAAATAATACAAATTCATAGTTACTATAATAACAAAATGCAGTGGCATACACAAACATATAACACATAGGGGTTTTTTCTTTCTCTATTTAGTTAAAGTTATATGAATTCCTCCACCAGGTTTAGTGTTGGTGATAATACACATGCTGGGCCCCTTGATGGTCCATGTTGTTGGATGCCCTATAGGCCTAGTAAGAATATACATTCATGGGGAAGAGAGTGGGTCTTTCATTTGTGCTCCACTCCTAACAGTTCTGAGCTAAAACTAATATAATTACTGTATAATAAACACTGCTTAAATATAACTCACTGATGAGTAAGATAGTTATTGCCTTAAATATAAAGTTTAGACGTGTGCTCTTAAAACAGTCCGCAGTGCATTTTCTCGTGCTAATGGCAGTGCAGCAGTGAGATTAATAATAACCATTCTTTGTGTTTGTGGTAACACACATCCAAGGGCCAAGGGTTTAAATTATGGCTCCACCATTTATCAACTGAATAACTGAGCAGTTGTTTAAATTCTCTGAAGTTCTGTTATCTCTAAAAGTGTGTATAATAATAGCAATTGCCAGGAGTCTTATGAGGGTGACCAAGTGAGTTTTTATATGTCAAGTACTTGGGACAGTCCCAGGCACATAGTGACTGCTGTATTGGAACAACACTTTTTGTTATTGTACCTGAGGGAGATAGTGTGGCCCCAGTTTATTACCTCCACTACCCAGATCAAATAAGGATCGGTCTTGGATCGAAGACCAACTTGTTACTTATTTTGGGTTCATAAAGGTAGAGTCAAATAAGCCACTTTTATAATCTTAATAGCCATATACATTAATGGGTATTCATATTTAAAGGGTATTCAGTATTTCCTAACTTATTACAAAATAATTCTCATTTGTTGGAAGTTTGGGGACCACTATCCACTCAGATGACTGCTGTAAGCAATTTGACATATGTTCTGCTACATTTGGACTTTCATTCCACCACAAGTCTAGTCACAGCCATAAAATTTTTATTAAAGATAGAAAAACAAGCTAAACTAAAAGGAGCTGTATTGTATTATGCCATATTATAATGGCTTTTATGAGTTTGACCAAGCAAGGGCATGTTCTTAGATCAAAAGTAGAATAAGAAATTTAATATTGGTTGTAACACAATTTAAACATTGTCTTTTTGGCATGGAGGTAGAAGCCTCTTCAGTTTCTCAGTGCTGTAAACAATTAAACATGCAGTGTTCATTGTCATCAGTCTAACTAGATATTAACATAGCATAATTCTCTGCTTATGAGATTTTAAGCCTTCTGGATGTTCTGTTCATAGTTCTGTGGATGGTGTCGTGGCAGCATGGACACCAGATCGAGAGAGATTGCCAGGGGGTTACGGTGTAGGATGTGATATTCCTGTACAGTGTATCTGATAACCCCAGAACATGGTGGAAACATACTGCATAAGAAGAGAGGGTTTGTCTGTTTGTTGCTTGCTTGATGGAGTGAGCAAAAGTACTCTGAATAGATACATTAATAAGACAGCAGCTCTGTCAATCATTCTACGCACTTAAGAAAGGGAAATGAGGTGAGGAACCAGGATGACTGCATATACTAACATGAGTGTCTGAAGATCTGATGCATCTCCCCTAATGATTATTTGATGAAATTGATGCTTTTGTGACTCTCGGTGCTTGTGGCCTGACGCTTTTGAAAAGGTCAGTTAATTCTCTTTGGGGAAGGAAGTTAAATGACCAACATGACAGCAGGTAGAGATGTACATTGTTTTCAGAGAGCAGTGAATGAAAATGAACTGCTTTTCCATCTTATTTGGGATGTGATCATCTGAAAAGCATATTCCCAGGGCTTTCTTCCTTTATCATCGTTTTTCATATGTAAAACAATGTGCACGTGTTTTATACCGACAGACGAGCAAACTGCCCTTTCTCTTCAGCCATAGCAACATCCTAGTTTG